GGAAGACATCAGATCCAGTTGTAACAGAAGAGAGGCCAGTCACTACTATTATACTGCCATCCTTCGAGGCTGCTTTTTTAAGTGACACGTTCATAGGTCGTCCCAAAAACGAATAGCCATTAAACGAAACAGCACTTGACGCAGAGGAAGGAGTTTTAAAAGTAACGACAGCAGAAGAACTGGTTGCCTGCTTACTTCTCTGTCTAACGATATCACACTTCACAATTGGACCAAATGAGCTGAAGTAACTCCTCACATCTTCTTTCTTTGTGCCAAGTGGAAGATTGCTTACTTTTATTGAAGTACTACTATCTAACTCACTACTAGGAGTAGCATCACTTGTACTGCTTGTACTAATACTGGTCCTAAGTGGAGGTGGGCCAGTAGTAGAAATGAATGCTCTAATGGTGCTTCCAAGGAACATTTGTCCATTCAGTTTCTGTACAGCATCACTGGCTGCTTGTTGAGATGGGAATACAATTGAGGCGGTGTTTGCACGTGAATTGATGAAGATATTAGAAGAATCGACAGATACCAATTCACTCAAATCTGTTGAGCTGATCTCTGGCGAGAGATTAGTTAAATGAACAACTGTAGAACTGCTTTGCTCGGGAGGCAAAACAGAGGGAGTACATGTATCTGAGACCTGACGAAGCTTAGCACTGGCTTTCTTTCCCTTGGGGTCAGGCTTACTTGGTCGAAGGACAAGTTTGTGATCTCTAAGTACGACCCCGTTCATCTCAGATATGATAGCGTTTGAGTCTTCAAGTGATCCAAAACTCAGGAAGGAGTATCGTGAGCTCTTCTCTCCTACCCTAATGGGATCTATGGGTCGAACCATCTTCTCTTTGAAACGAGAGAAGATCAACATGAGATGGTCTTCTGTGATGTCAGGAGGAATATTACCAACCCAAACTTTAACGACATTATCACCAGCGAGAGAAGAAGCAGATCCTTTCCTATCTGATGAAGATGATCCTTTTCTACTCGACGAAGTTGAACCTTTCGTCCTACCTCTTCTTCTCTTCCCTTTACCCCCATCTTTCTTCTTTTCCTGTTTCTTTCGTACTACAATTGAGTGCTTCCCGGCAATTAGCGATTTATTGTACATAGTGACTGCTCTATCCACAGCCTCTTCTGATTCCAATCTAATGAAACCGAAACCTTTCGATATTTTTGTCGCTTTATCTCTTATGACAAAGCAATTGATGATATGACAGCCAATAAAGTGTTGGCGGAGATGGGTCTCGTTAATAAAAGGAGGCAGTTGGCCCACATAGATACTAGAATTGGGATCACTGCTTGAGGAGGAACTGAAGGTGCTACTGGAAATGGATTCACTGTCACTCGTGTAGTCTTCTTCAGAGGACGACATTATGATAAAGGAAGACTGCTGTCTAGTAAATACTGGTATATACGCGGCAATATACAGAGAATTAAAGACAGGACAATCAACTGACAATGACTAAGATGACTAAGACAATGCGGACATTTAATTTTAATTGTAGGTGGGCGGTACCAAGGCAACCCATTAAT